TCTGCTTTATCAATTATGGTTCTGTAAAAGAAAGTGCGTTCCACTGCATGTGTGTTTTCGATCATTTCCTGCATACAAAATGGAAGATGCATAATATTTACAGCCATCATTCTGTGTGAGAAATAAAAAGGGAAAATCTTCTAGCCAGGGCCTTTGGTATGTCTGCATACAACTATATGCTATGAAAACTCATTGTTTATTGATACATCTTAAAATGACAAGGCTTATAGTGGTTCTGCAGTGATATTTTCCGATTACTAGACAATAACTTTTCGTAGAACGATAGAATATAACTTACCAATTTCTGGTACCTGGTGAAGAAGCAAGAAAAGCAACATTTTGGCTATGATACATGTTGAATAACTGAAATTAATGAAATACCTAAAGTGCACAAAAACCATCTCAAGCCAAAACATAGAGATAGAACTACATGTGTTGCGGCTGTATGTTTCCCCGTAGGGGCTATGTGTTGTACTGATGGTGCTCCCTCCTTGGCAAGCATGATGAATTGTTTTACCCAGAAAGGCCTTAAGAGCAGGTAAGTTGCTGCCAGTGATAGGATCACTAGTGTGAAATTCCACCTAGGGAGTTGCACCCCCTTAGCCCTGGATAGATGAGGAGGATCTCTAAGCAGTTCAGTGGGCTGGAATTTCAAACCTTAGGGCAGAATCCTTCACTCTTTGTAGGTTGGAAGAAATTGGGCAGAAGTTACTTTAAAGAAATTAAAGAGTTTATTATAGGACCAGAAACTTAAGGAGAGAAGATTAGAGCACATGATACCCAAAAGGAGACAAATACTCAACTCTAGGTCTTCTCTAGCAACAGTCAATACAAAGATAAGAACTTTTAAGCAGAAACTAGCAGCCTGTATTCTTTGGGCTGTTGAGCAGCTTCAGGTGATCCAAATACCTTTACAGTTGAGCAACCTAACTACCTGCAATGTCCAACGGCAGCAGCTTGTACTCAGCTTTCAAGAACACTCTTCAGCAGCAAAGCTCCTTCCTCTGGTGCTTTAACAAGACTCCAACTTCAATGCTTCTGTATGTACCCTTCAGCAAGGCAGTGTAAGACTTTCAGAGCCTATACTCAGGCCCATTTTTCAGCAGCACCCTCTCCAAGCAGCAGGCCAGGAAGGCACAGACGTCCAGCAAAACCATTTCCCCAGGCAAAGCCTGGAAGGACAATTACTTTTCTATAAGGTCACCCCAATTATTTATTTTCTTCCCCCAGCATGTACCACTGGCAGTAAACCTCCTAGTTATTGGCTAGGGAGATATTCATAATCTTCTCCACCTTGGAAATTGAGACATCTGAATAGAAAGTATTACTTTTGAGTAGCCATAATGTTTCAGACCGCTATATGTCCTGGGCTAAATTTTACACTCAATAAAATGACTAGAACTTGGAGAAGTGAAGAGATTTTGGCTAATTCCACCTTAAGTGTTTTTAAAACAACAATCTTAACACAACCACAGAACTTCAAAAGACAAAATATGAAGGCTTTCAGTACACACTATAATTTATTATCCGAGATCAAAAGTGTCATATTAATGTAAACTCCATCTCTCCAACACCTCCCTGAACATTAGACAACGCTCACACAAGCACAGTTTTGTTCATCGTGGCCGCATCAGCTGTTCCTTATCCTCACACTAAAGTTAACCTATTGTCAGGCCAGATACAAAATACTGTAAAACACAGAATGACCTTGTTGGGATCGCAATCTGGCCCAGGCTACAAGCCATCACAGCCAGATGTCTCCCAGCTGTGCACATTGCGCCGCTTGCCAGGCAGCCAATGGAGACCTTTTTTCTGCTTTCAATCTTGAGCTCTTGTGGAACTTATCTACACAAGCCAGGGAGGTCTCACATTGCAAATAGCAGCTCCCTTCTCCAGGACGCTGATCCTCAAATATTTATTAACAACGTTATTTCTTGAAAAAGACAAGACAAGGCCAAAATGGATTAAAGGAAAGAAAAGAAAAAGCCATGTGTTATTGAAGTCACCTCAAATGGCTCTTAAAGTAGAAGTAATGAAATCTCATAGAAGCTATAAAAATGTTATGCAATTTCCAAAAGTCATTTTTAATATTTTTAATTTTGAAGCTTTTAGCAAAATAATACATGATGATCCTACAATATAAGTCCTTGTTATGGCTTTTCTTGTGATGTTGTGCTTCTGTGCTGTCACCCTGTCACACCGTCTTCCGATGGAGACTACAAAAGGCTGTTTTACCACGCATTACACAGTCATGGTCAACTGTTGTCATTATCAGAAAACCTACACTGAGAAATGATATGCAACCATCTACTTAAAATATGTAGCAAAACCACAATTTTCTACATTTGTAATACAATAAAATACAAAAAAATGGTTCTGAGTCACCAGGGAAACCAGGACACCATACCCCTAATATAGTAGAAGCAAAAAAAAGGTAGCCTGATGCCTAGAATGTGGCCGTGTGGTCCAGGGAGGTTATAAGCCGTTTGTGATTTTAGACTATATTATGTATAGGAAGATGATATAGGTGTGTAATATATTTATTTATTTATATTATTTGTACAATAAAATGAATTGTTAACAGACAAATGTGCAATATATGTGTTCCATGCCTAGAATGACACCTGAAAAGCCCCACTTTTCTTCCTTTTTTTTGCTTCTACATTTGTAATAAACTCGTACTTCAAGAAGTATATAATGAGAGAGATACTGTATGAAGCTACCATTTGTGGCACCCTTCTGTAAATGCTAGGTGTCTTATTGTGGCTTCCCTGGCCAGAAACAAGTATGCAAATCAGGAAGTCAAAGTAAGCACAGTGCTCTGAATCTGCATACACTGCTCCACATCAGTGACATAGAAAGTAATGAAGGCAGCATGACAGCCAAGTAACTGATATTTTCAGAAGAAGAGGTAAGAGATGGAAGCCTCTGGACTCCCAAAAATATCCCATTTTGCATGGTTACGGAATTTTCCAGGGTACATTGTTAATGGAACCCTTCAGATATCTAGAGATCCAGAGATAGATAATAGTTCTATTTCCTTAAAGCGGAGCTCCAGGTTCATATAGAAGATTCACATTATAAGAGCTCTTTTTTCATTAATGTTTATCTAAATGTATTTTTTTAATCCAACTAGTGTGAGTACCTGAACTTGATATGGTGTCAGCCTCATGCAGTCAATTGTATAGCAGAGCTCAAAGAAGAGGAGCAAGGAGCAGAACAAGGAGTCAATCAGGCGTGTTGCAGTTCCAGGAGCTTACTGAAAGATGGAGAAAGCAAAGTGACAGAGACGAGCTTATTAGTTTGCTGCTTCACCTTTCACTGTCCAGTCACAGGGTGGGGAGGGGACCTGTAAGTGAAATTAAAACTGCAGCAGAGACAGGTCAAGTTCTCCTTCGCTGCTAGATAGGGCACTCCTGTGAATCGGAGTTGTGTGAATCTCAGAATAGAATTACAAATCCTTTGGCAGGTATAGACAGCGTTCATATATGGATTTCATCTGTGCTATTGCTGTACTGAAATATTTAATCTGCTATTGACCTCCTTCTGGAAATGTTAATTCCCTGGCTTTGTTTAGACCAGCTGCTAACATACTCTGTGCATCAATACCTGCCCAGCTTAAAATACCTTATACTAATGCAGTCCAGTAAATATTTCCACACCTCAAGCCCTGATAAAGGGGGTATTTTCTGACCCCCAAAATGTGTTGGCTCTGTGATAAAGACTATATCTGGATGATTATCTCCCAGTGCGGTGCTTCAATCTTAGGTTACAAACCAAGGAAACAGTGGAAATCCTTGTGTGGAGAAGTTTCCACCCGAATCCAGATACCCTGCCCAGTAGCCACAATAACTCCTATAGCACTAGGATAATTCTAGAGTCCCAGCACTACTCTATTCCCTGGCTTCATCTGGCATAGAACAGGTATACAGTAGAAAATAAAGCAAGCATATGATTGGTTGCTTTGGTCATTTCCTTTCTTCGGAATTATATATAAATCCTTTATTATATTTTTTATATGAGCCTGTGAGACGGTAGATTCAGTGCAATGCTATTTTCACTTTAACATTATCCCAGTCAGAGGCAGTACATCTCTGTTACGGCTCTCAGTATTCCATCGAGTGTATCTGTGTTGATTTTAAAACCCCACCTAAGATAGACAAAGGTCAAGAATTGTAATCCCAGCCCAGCAGATGTTCACAAGCTTCTTGAAGGGGTTTGTTTTTTTAATATAAGTGAGGAAATCCTAGATTTACGTAACATTTCAGGGAAAACATAGACCGCAAAGAGACCCTGTCACCATCCACTTAATGAATAATGACTTGCTTGACATGAGAACAACTATGGCTCAACGTGTTACCAATGTTGCGGCCATGGAAGTCACTTTTTTGTCATAGGATGCATTTTCAGCATCAATGCTCATACACAATATTGTTCTTCTTCGAGCTTCTAACCATAGCTCTTGCCAGTAAATTCTCGTAAGACTCAACAAACAATGTCACACTGGATAGAATATACGAAACCAAATTAGGTTTATGGCCGTAGAATTCTGGTTTCATCAGACAGCTGTTTTGGCAGGTAGTTGCCTCCAGGTGCACTTCCTCGAATAAAGGATAGCATATTGGATGTTATTAGCGGTTACTATGTCAACCTGGACCCCACAGTCTCTATTAAGGGGATTGCAGTCTTTTGTTTTTATTCCACATTATATAAAGGATTTCATTTACATGTTTGCTAAACTTTCATTTTTGAATATGTTGAAATTTTGAAACCCATTGACTTTACACCATGGATCTAATGTGATTTTTGTTACCACTATATCTATATACAGTGTTCATATATACATATAGTGTACTATATATATAGTATATAAAAGTTGTTATGTCAATCAGACCATGGGCCTCAAACCTTCCTCGGACTTGGATGGATTTTACAATTGATTGAATGATTAATGTTAGAGAAGGACGTAAATCCTAATGTTATATTCTTCTCGTTTGCAGTAAGCGGAAATCAGAGATGTGCTTTGAACTGTCGTCCCATTGGTTACCGTTTCTATGTCCGCCACACAGAGAAGGTCCAAGATGGCACTCCATGTGAGCCTGGTTCCTTAGACGTTTGCGTTGATGGCCAGTGTCTGGTAAGCTTCCTCTGTGTAAACTTCTAGTGTGAAACATCAAGGAGGAATTTACTATTTCTGGATTCATAGCTGGTCTTCATTTTTCATGAGTATGTGTTAAACATGTCTACGGAATTCAGAAAAAAAGGTTGACTGACTGTCTCAGTAGGAACCTGCAGACAAGCCAAACTTTGTCTGTCTAATAAATATTTGAGGTTACTAGTGTTTATTTAATCAGGCAACATCAAGCCTTTGCATATATGTGTCATTGCGGCTTTCTTTTGAACATTGTTTACATGACCCTTCAGGTCAAACTTACCTGTTCAAAAATGTAAGAAAAGAAAATGGAAGTGCAATATCCCATTTTAACCCATAAGAATACAGGGCTCTTTAATCGGTCTCCTGTACACCTAAAAGGACCTATAAGTATAGAAATTCAAAAGCTACTATGACTTCATTAAAAAGGTGAGTTTACCTCACTACTTCTTCCGCTGACTGATCCAGTATGCAGCCAATGAAGTTGGAACAATTACATTGTGATATACGAGCTGTTGGGAGTACCTACTGGGTGCGACACATTGAGAATTGTGGAATACTGTAGCTGAATTGGCCAGGAATCAGCAGAATTTCAAGACACGAACAGCTGGAAAGCTATGTATATGGCCTATAATACAGCAAGGGCTCAGTTTACTTTGTACTCTGTGGTGACTGGGACATGTTAAATGAGATTGGTTCTCATAGCTGCACTTTAAACCCCATCCTTCATACTGTATGTGCTGGGGCATTATCTTGTTGTGCAAGTTGTTTTGAGATACACAAGTAAATTTGTGAGCATAACCTAAAGTACACCTGTGCCCAGTCTATGACATTAAAGGTTTTATCTATATTCTTAACAAGCAGTAAAAGAGCTTTAAAACAAGCCCTCACTCTCTAGCTGCCTGTTCTGAGAAGTAGTTCATCCTCATAGAACACAACAGAGTCTCTAAAGTCAGTTTCTGTCTGTTTCGAGCGGCTTACATCACCTGCTGTGTGTTTAGTTTAGATGGCTGGAAGGTTGCAAAAATTCTGCTCTCTATAGAAAGTAAAGGACATGGTTCTGTGGTGAAACGTGAGCATGAATTTCCCCAGAATGTCTACAGCTACTGAAGAGAATGGGTGCTGAGCTCATTGATGGAATGACGGCAGACACCGCACTGCATATATGCGGGCTTTAAAATGAGGAAACGTGCTCACACCAGTAATTCTGTAAGTGAGCGTCCAATGGCTAGAGAATTCCAGCAAAAGGACAGGAAGGAGTTTTTCAGCCAGGCTTCTGTGGGCGCAAATGACCTACAGGTATTGCATTTACATTATTCCATATATTGAATAGCTGCTCAGTTTTTTTTATACCTTGGGCCCCTTGATGGCATAGGCTATTTTCTTTAAAATGTGAACAAGCAGTAACATCTGCAGTGAGCACCATAAGGTGTCTCTTTTCACCTATATCTTGGCATACAGCAACGGCTTCCTCCTGCTCTACTGCCTGGTCTGGGGGCACACATGACTCTCCTCTTGCCTCCATACAGATCAGCCTTTGGTGCCTAAGCATCAATTCCTCAGAGCCAATCACATGGGAGTGGAGAGAGGAGATTGGTTAGCCCTGTGCAAGATTTTTTTTTAAAGTCAAAACTTGCACAGAGGGTTTAGGGGGCTCTGGTGACAGAATAGGGCTATAGGACAGGTGAAAACCGATACCTAATTTTTATTAAAGGTTAGCAAAATTTAAAACAACAAAGACCTTTATCATGAGAAAAAAATATGCTATTTCGACAAATCTAGAGCTGATGTCACATTGAAATCCTTCGCACCCAAATGCAATTAGCAAAAACATCTGAATCTATCACTACAGAAACCAATGATCTGCTCTTTGCTGCATTTTATTGAATCAACCTGAAAATAATGAAAGGGGTGAAATGTCTCCTTTATGTCCAGCGTGCCTGAATCACGCAGTACAGGAAGCTTGAAAGACAAAATAGATCAAGGGCAGTAGTTATCTCAGCATCTCCTTCTAACAGGTGGATGCCATTAGCCTTGTTGGTTGCACATAGGTGATATTAGCATGACTAACCTTACTCACTGTCTGTTGCTTCCTCTGTTGTGGTCGACTGGAAGCTGAATAAGCTAAAGTAAATGCTTCATGACCCATGTGGTTTGTTGTATATAATTATTAAAACACATGGTTTTATTTAGTTGGCAGCGTGGAGTGCAAACGTGGTTTGCAAAGCTTAGTGTTTTCACTATGGGGGGCTCCTGCATGGTAAGTAGCCCTCCAGGAGGAGGAGGATAGAGGATTTCCCATCCTTTCTAGTCTTGAGGACAATGGTCATTAAACAGTGGCAGTCTCCCCAGCTGAGACATGGAGAGCAATAAAAACCTGTCAGGGTTTTAATCCTTTCCTGTATAGATGCATTTCCAGGTAAAAGTAAAAATGACCCTTGAAGTGAGCTCCCCCTGCACTGCAAGAGGTAAATGCTTGTTTTTGTCTAGGGGGGACATAAAAAGCAGTTTTGCTTACCCTATCCCTTTCTCTCCCAGCATCCAGGGCTCATCTTCACTCTTTAACACTTTAGGTTGTGGATGGACCCTCAGCAACCTCACTTACAATGCAGGATTGTTGCTCCTGCATTGTATGACATGACTGAATATTATGTGCAGCCCTTTGGTGATGTCAGGGGCCACACTTGAGGCCCCCCAAATCACATAAGTTGACCACCAATAGTGTAAGTGATTCATTGTATTGAAGCCAAAGGGTTAGGTTAAGGTGACAACCACTAAGCTAGCAACCCCAGATGGATAGTTCAACAATGGCAGCCTCTGACAGGTTTCTTTAAATCAACAGTAGAGTACAGGCTGTCTTTAAATGAGTATTCTACAGATGTAGAGAGCCATTATTCATGCTGTGTGTAGAAGTTGGCTCTCAGAGATATGGCCTACCTCCAGCTTCCACTGTTAGAGATCTCTATTTTCCCGGATAGCGGCCTGCAATCCTGAGATCATACAGACCTTTCCTGTATTATCTGTCCCTTCTTCCAGCGTACCACCACATCACATGTGCATGGAGCAATGCTGTCTATTAACAATGCTTATTGTGAGCTGGTCTTAAATGCTGCCACCTTCCCTTTTTTATCCAGATCACATGGCCAGCAAATTCTCCGGCAGATTTTCATTCCTGGAGATTTTGTAACCTCACTCACTCAGAATCAGGCTGCAGTTCACCTTAATCCCGTTCAGAACACAGCGTGCCGATCAGATTAACACTCTCAGATCTAGTGATATCATGAAATATGGGTCGGTGTAAATCACGGCTATCTCAAATTTAACAAGGCTGTTTGTTGTTAAAATCTGGCTAATCTTTAATTTAATCTGGCTCCATGTTCAAGACGGTGCCCTTTTACTGTGTGGTATTATGTACAGCATTGTTGGCAGGGATGTGGAAAAGATATACTGTATCTGGGGGGGGGAAGCTAGACCTTTAAAGGAACAATTTGTTTTCTAAAACTACATTTCATTGGAATTAAAGCAGAACTCTGGGTAGATGTCAACATTTGTATATGTGCATGTTCTTATAGATATACACTCACCGAGAAATGTATGAGGAACACTACGATAAAATTGGGCAAGACCTCTCTATGCTCTCAAAACAGCCTCAGTGCTTGATGACATGGATGTAACATTCCAGAAACATTCTTTAGTGGTCCACGTTGACATGTCAGCTCCACGTTCTAGCTGCCAATCTTCCATTCTACCACATCCCAAAAATGTTTTGTTGGCTTTAAATCCAGTAACTGGCCCACCATCTCAGCAGATGTGCCTCAGAGATCCGTCAGACCAAGCGGTAGTTTTCCAGCCTTCAGCTGTGCAGTTTTGTTCATCCTGGTCCCACTGTAGCCTAGGCTTTCCCTTCTTGGTGGAACCCAACGTGGTCTTCTGTTGTGGCTATTCACCTCAAGGTTCAACATGTTGCCTATTCTGAGATACTTTTCTGCTCACCACAGTTGTAAGGAGTGGTTATCTGAGTTACATCTACCTTTATGTCAGCTTGAACCAGTCTGGCCAGTCACCTCTGACCTCTTTAATTGACAAGGCATTCCAGTACATACAATTGCCACTCACTGGATGTTCTGGTGTTTGATATTTTCATGATTTTATGCATTGTGATGCTGTCCCATTATTGGCTGATTAGATAATTGCATGAATCAGCAGGTATACCAGTGTTCCTAATACATTTCTCAGTAGGTGTATATTGTTTACCCTGATTTCCTCTTATAGGAGCTTATTTGCTGTAACATCAACAATGTCTGAAACTTGCTAAAGGCTGCAATGTAGCAGCTGGGAGACACCAGGAAAACATGGCTGACAATGTGCTACTTCCTGTGTCACCTCTCTATTCACTGGATACCCTTCAAGATCTACTATAGCCACACCCTCTCAACATACTCCCTGATGACTCCTAAGGCTCAGGGAATGGCAGGAGAAGTCGCTTCATCTGTCATACAATGCCATTGCCATTTTCTGATTTTCTTACCATGCGCGGAGATAAAAAGGATGTGTCAAAAATCAAATCAATATTGTGATTGTGTTTTGGATGAAATTTTGTGGCGGTCAAGGCTTTAAACTGCAGCTGTGTTTGATGGGATGTAATGTAAAGCATTATATTATTAATATTTCTGGAATAATGCACATGTTAAAACCTGCAAGGTATGAGACAGTCTATTTTTAGATTAGGTGTGTAGATGTGTTGTAATTACTTTACCTGTTTTGCATCAGAGGAGCCAGGTGATAACATTATTGTAGCTTTTCTCATATAGGTGTAGCACTCCCCCCTGACCCCCAAAGGCAGGTGATGAATCCCAGAGGCAATTTCACTCTCATGGGTGTATCCTTAGCCGACTTGTGGGATGTGAAGCGTAAATTGGGCGCCAGTCACTTTAAGTTATTTTTTAATGCTTTAATGTAAAACAGCCAAAACTGGGAGAGAGGTT